GGGAAGATAATGGAGAGGTGGGAGGGTAGTGAAGGAGATCTACAGGGAGCATTCCTCAACAACTACATCCCACCTTCACTTTCCCTGTTCTGCACCCCCACCCCCCACCTCTGCACCACCCCATGCTCCTGGAACAACCCTGAAAACAAATTCTCAGACAGCTTGGACTATCTGGTATGCGTGTGTGCAAAGGGGATTGGAGCGGTGATCATGGCTAAGGCCTTAAAGATGGTGGTGGTGTTTCAGGCACAGGTCTCCTTGGGGTGTGTCTAGGCACCAGGCAAACCAACCGGGAGGTCAGGAGACAGTGGAAAGCTTCAACAACAGCAGCAGGTGTTTGGACAATGGACAGATGCCAGTTCAGCAAACACTGGGTGCCTTCTGAGTAAGGGTCGGACTAGCTGCTTAGATGCTTGTTCAAATTCTTTCTCTGTAAAATGGCTTTCATCAAACTTAGCTCACCAGATTATTAAGAATATCAACTAAGAGAATGCATATGAAATCCCTGGCACATAGTAAGAACTTATCTTTTTCTTCCACTTCTCCTCGTATAAATCAAGTAGGAGTCAGTTTTTCAAACTGACAATGGAAGAAACAGATTCAGAGAGAATCAGTGACTGCTGAGGTCAGACAATTCAGAAAAGGCTCAATCAGGACAAGTTCCGGCTGTAGCTGACACATCTAGCTGTAGTTAACGTGGTATATTAAGTACCTTCCACATACCTGGCATGTATATTATCTAATTCTTACAACAACCCTATAACGTGGATATTCCTAAAACCATTTTACAGATGAGGAAACTGAGACTCAGGACTGTATGATGGGGAATTGCCCAAATCATCAGATAATTAAAGGCCAATTAGAGTGCCTCAAGTTTCAGGCATTAGAGGTAGTCTAGAGGCAGGGAGAAAGGACCCAGCCCCAGGGAATAGTACTTAGAGCCAAAGGAACAGATAAGGGGTTAAGACAGAAAGCAAGGGCCAGGAGCAGGCACGTGTGGGTTGGAGCTAGACAAGGAGGGTGACAGGAAGCCCCAAGGAAGAAAACCTAAATCCTTTTCAAAATTAAATAGGAGTCGTTCTTTCAGTAAAGTTTTACTAATTGCTCGCTTGCCCTGGGACCTTAAAGGACAGGGTTGGGGAGAACTCAAGTCAAGAAAAGTAGTTTTTAATAAGACACCTTCCTTGTAGATTGAAGCCCCCAGGAGTGAGTAGGATATCTCTGGGTCCCCCACCACTGCCCAGCTCAGGGCCTGCACAGAGAGGGCCTAGACTGAGTAAATGAACAAGACTGAATGTACACAGTAACAGTATATAGTGATTAAGGGAATGCCCTTAAGTGCTAAACTGAATCCTGGTCCTGACACTTGCTAGCTGCGTGAGTAGGTAACTTGGCTTCTCTGTTTTCCCTTGGTGAAATGGAGATATTAATAGTATCTACTGCATAGGGCTTTTATGAGGATTAAATGGGATAACACATAAAATGTAGAAGAGTGCCTGGGACACAGGAAGTGCTCAAAATGTGTGGACTTAAGTGGGAACAATGTGATGGAAACAGTGTCTACCTCAGGCGTCCTGCACCTGCTGCATGTGCTCAGACAACCCCACATTGTAACTAGAAGATTGCCGGCCCCTTCATCCTTTTTCCCTGTTGAGGTAGGATGGTCTTTATAAATGTAGCCACGAGTCCCTCTGAGGGGTCCGTCAATATGGGGAAGGAAGCCTGACTGGGGGCTGGTTTCTGGGGATCAGCCCTCACGGTGAAGAGAGACCCAGGACTGGGCGAGGGAAGGAGATCGGCTGTTTTACGACAGATGTGACCAGGCGCCCTCTCCTGATCAAGGGCAGGAATAGCTCCGGCCCAGAGTTTCGGGGGTGGGCCCCACGGGATCTCACTCCTTGTTATATGCTCTTCCCTTTGCTGAAATGCCCCGATTGGGTTCTGGGGAGTAAAGTTTAGGGGAGGGGCGCCGAGGCTGGGGCCAAACTGCTTTAGTGTTTTAATAGGGCGAAGCTGGATAATTCTTCTAGATTGGGGTGGCAGGTGGATAGACACCGGGGTCAGGAAATGAGAGAATTCGGGGCCGTCCTGAATTAACTGTATGTTCTTTCAACAGGTGATGGAACGCTGCTGAGAGGTAAGGTGACAAGGTGGCTTATCCAACGTGTCAAACCCAGTTGTCCGGGGCTCTTCCGGCTGCCCCCACGCAGCCGGAATTAGTGGGGCAGACCAGGACTGGATCGGCATGGCATGAAGGGACGCCAGATTAAGGGGGACCGCTCTGGGTCCTGGGCCGCAGAAGCGGGGAGGGGCCAGCAGAGCAATTGGGCGCAGTTTCCTTGCAAAGTTCCGCCTCGAGCACGCCGGCCCCGCCCCCGCCGTTCCCGCTCCGCCCCGCCCCCCGCTGCTCGCCCCCCGGGCAGGGGCTGGGTTTCCCCCGGGTGCTCCCGGCTCCCGGCCTGCGCCGGCGCGGCCTCTTCGCCGCCGCACCCTGGGTGAGTATGGGGATTGGTGTTTGGGGCTGCACGGCAGCCCCACTTGGGGGAGCTCGGTCACGCGGTCTGGCTTCCGCAGGGCCGGGCCACAGGCTGTGGGGGTCCCGCAGCCTGCCCAGGAACCGCTGCTCTCCTCTTCTGGCTGGCTGAGCTGACCCCTTTCCCCTCTGCTCCCCGACCTGGGCCCGATGTGCCGATGTGCCGGAGTGAGCTCTCCCCGCTTCACTCCACAGCGACTCCTGGTCCAGATTCTACCAGGAGGGAGGTGCGGGGGGCTTTACAACCCCATAGATGAGTTTCAAATCCCAGCTCTGCCAGTCATTAGCCTATGACCTTGAGCGAGTGTTAACCTCCTTGAGCCTCACTTTCTTCTTCTGTAAAATGGAAATATACAGGCTATAGTGTCTACCTCGTAGAGTTATCTAGTGAGGATTGAAAGAAACAATGTATATCTAGTGCTGAGCAGGGTGCCTAGTATTCATCCAATAAATGTAGATTTTGGACTGGAGCCTGAAAAGGTGTTTGAGGATCTCTGGAAATAAACTAGGGATACTGCTGAGAAAACAGTTTTCAATGAAGTGGTACCTGTGTAGAAGACAGAGTTGACTGGGGCAGAACAGCTGCCCTTCAGATAGTGAGCTCCCTATCCTGAGGCCTGGGAGAGTAGAATGACCCAGTTGGTAGGGACTTATTAGTAATCCAGATCACAGAGTGGTTAGGTGACTTGCCCAAGGTCACACAGCTAAAAGGGAGGTTAGGTATCCCTCCAGGAAGTGGAACAGACTCTTCCTGAAACCTTATCTTCCACTGCCTTAGGCACTGCCTATTCATTCCCTGAGGGTCTGCTCTTCAGTTTGGGGGTCCCAGTGATTCCTGAGTGATCCAGAGCAGCTGACTTCAGGAAGGGATGTTGGAAAGGGGCACTAGTACAATTACAACCACAGAATCTGGATTTGGGCTGGGTGGGGAAGGCCTTTGGGGATGATCCAAACAATGTCAGAATGTGCTTGATTGGGAGGGCCACCAGAGCCACTTCCACCACTCTCTGGCAAGTGTCTGGCCCTCCGGAAGTACTAGAGCTTGAGCAGTTGGGGCAGGCTGCCTGACAGCCTGGCAGAGAGGTGGGTGGAGGAAGATGGATGAGAGGCATATCCACCTGGCATTTTCCGGATTCCAGGAGGAGGCTGGCCTCCAGGAGGTCAGGGTTCTTCCTGAGGGCGGGGCCAGGCAGAGCTGGGGCTTGAACTCCAGGCCAGGCCCTGGAGTCCAGAAGGGCGGGCTCTTTGTGTATCTGAGTCAGCCATAGTTTGGCAACTGGATGCCTAAGTTCTGAGGACGGCTTTCCCTCAGGCTCAGCATGTGGTTTTGAGAAAGGACCTTCCTCTCTCTGTGTCTTGGTTTCTCTGTCTTTAAAATGGGAACAGGGCTAACTCATCTATATAGGACTTGTTTTTTTAGCTTTTTTCCTCCTAGGGACAGTTTCCCCTTCTCTTCCCCCCGCTAACCTGACCCTTCTGCCCAGAGCTCTGGCCCAGGGAGGAGGGGGTCAAGGAAGCCCAGAGTGCAGTGTGTGATGTTGAGCGCCATGTCTCCTCTCTGCTAGCTCTTCCTTCTATTTGCTGTGTGGCCCTGAGCAGGGTCCTGCCAGTCTCTTGGCCTCAATGTCCTCTTCTATGCCCTGGGGTTGGGGCTGGACTAGGATTGCTGGTGTATACTTGGCTGGTAGTATAAGGCCTGACCCTAGATATCCTCATCTCATTGGAGGTGGGCAGACCTTAGACCTCACCTGGTTCCTGGAGGAGAGTGGACAGGCCCCTGGGGACTGGGAAGCCTCCAGAAGCTGACCAGGCAGCTCTCTTCAGCAAATAGCAAGCCTAGGCTAGCACCAGGCCTGATGCTGCAAAGCCTTTCAGTCTCAAAACACGTGAGGCAAGCGGGTGGGGACAGGCAGGGGGTTGGTGTTCTGCTGGCTTCCATGGAGTCCTTGCCACTGTGGACTGCGGTGCAGGCACACAGAGCCCACAGAGCCCGGGAAGGGCCTGAAGGTGCAGAAAGGCCCTGAGCCGATGGATGAGGCAGAGAGAGCCGACGGGAGGCCCTGACACATGGAGGCTGCAAGGTCTGGGGGAGGAGATGGGCCATTCTGACCACTGGGACGTTTTAGGATTGGTTCCTGAAACAAGAGAGACTAGTTCAACCAGCTTCTGTCAAGCCAGGCATAGGGATGAGGAGTTTTCCCGACTTACTCAAGCTTCATCTTAGCATAGATTTGGTTCATTCTTTCCTCTGAAATGGAGGGTGAATGTACTTGTGGGAGTCTGAGTCCATCTTCCTTGTCCTGGGCAGTAGCTGCTTAAGCTTAGGGGCTCGGTGGCTTCCCTCTCAGATTCCCCCCACCCCACAGCTAAGCTGAGGACCGAGCACAAGGGCTGGCTTCCCCACTGAGTACCAGCCTCACTACCTTGGGCCCTGACAGCACACCACTCCATCCCCAGGTCTGACAAGATGTACCAGGTCCCACTGCCGCTGGACCGGGATGGGACCCTGGTCCGGCTCCGCTTCACCCTGGTGGCCCTGGTCACAGTCTGCTGTCCACTTGTCGCCTTCCTCTTCTGCGTCCTCTGGTCCCTGCTCTTCCACTTCAAGGAGACTACGGCCACACACTGTGGGGTAGGGTTTGTTGAGGTGCGGGGGCGGGCATTGATACCTTGTATTCAGGCCTAATCGGGTTTGTTTTGAATCCTGAATCTCTTGTAACAGACTTAGCCATCACACGTTACTGGGCTGCTGGGGGGTGGCGGGGGGGGGGGCGGTGCCTGCAAATGGAGGTCCCAAGGACTAGTCTCCCTCCACCTTTCATGGAGGTCATTGGGGGTCAGGGTCCCTAAAGTTAGGCAGCTTCAGAACCCGGAACCCAATCCTTACTTCACAGAGGGGCAGATTCAGCAGCCCCAGGGTTTTCTGGAGGGTAGAGAATAAGACGGGGCTAGAGGGCAATTGGGGCTTCTTAGTGTGCCCTGTTGTGGGCTGTGCCTGTCTCCATGGGAATATGATTATGTAAGTGTGTGTGTTAACTGTGAGGGACATGACTATAATGGCTTTGATTGGGGTCTGTGTGTGAGAGAGACTATATCTGTGCCTGTCTGACTGGAGACCTGATTATATGTGTGTACATTTGTTTTCTGGGGTAAGTCCCATGACCTCTGAGGTTCCCTAGGTGGCCATATACCCTCTTGGATAGGGATATGGGATGTTGAGCTAGGAAGAAAGATGTGAGTTCTTTCTCTGTAGATTATTAGAGTAAATGGGGTAAGACTCTGTGAACCTTTATTATCTTCCTAGTTCATCCGCTGATTCTTATTACTTGAGACTCAGGGACAGCCTCACTTTCCCCATGTCTAAAACAGGGTTGAGAATTCCTGTTCTCTTCCTTCTCAGGGTTAGTGTAGAACTCCAGGTAGAGGAGATGGGAAGATGGTTTGGGAAATGTGAAGCGTGAGGAGCAGAAGGAGGAAGAGGAAAAGGAGATTGTCAAGTTGGAAGACAGGGTAGGAAAGAAAGTTAGCCAAGGGTCTTTAAGTGGGAAAGAGGACATGAACCCTTGGACTAGCCTCATAGAGAGCTCAGAAGGCCCCCAAATAGCTGAATTTCCCACCTTCATATAAAGAGCATCTGCTCGAGAATATGGGATACAGCCATGACTGGGATCTGACTGGCAGGCGTGAGGGCCCACTTCATTTGTTCACATGACTTGAAGTTTTCCTTCTTCTTGATTTGTCCGTGGGTGGATGTGGGCCTTGAGTTGGCAGCCAGTCTGGTGAGACTTAGAACTCGGAGCCATCAGAAAGAACAGGACTGGAAGAAAAAGGGATGAGCAGTTGATCTGAATCAGAGGCTCAGAAAGGATCCATCCAACAGCCTCTCCTGACCTGGTTCTCACCTTAGATAATGCATCCAATATTCCTTTACCTTGGCCAACTCCTCTTCATCTTCAAAACCCTTCTCAGGTGTCTTCTCTTTCAGATAGGCTTCTCTAGCCTCCATGGGGCAAGCTTAATCACTCCTTCCTCTGAGTGCTCATACAACTGGTGCTCTCATATACAGTCCTGTCACACTATGTGTGTCTCTCTTTCCTACTAGGCTGGGAGCTCCTTGAAGGTGGGCACTGCGTCTGAATCAGAAAGTATTTGTTGAACAAATGGATAGGACACCTGCCTCCCACACCGTCACACAGCAGCCCATTGCCCTGGGAAAAGGAAGGCATGATATAATGCAGTCATAGTCCATACAGAAAATTATAATATTTGTATGGCATATGGAGTTAGATGGAATGGGCTGTTTGCTCTGGCCCTTGTGGCGGGCTCCAAGGGATAATGGGATCAATAACCTCAGCATACTTATAACCCATTCTCAGCATACTCCTTGGGGAGCTAAGGCATAGGTAGCTGCTGGAAGGGTACTTGGCCTCTCTTGGGCAGGACTAGGCCTTGGGACCCCAGGGGTATTTTGTCCCTACTCCCTGGGAGTACTGTGATGGATCCACGTGGAGATTTTCATATATGATCTGGATTTCTCACCCAGATACTAAAGAAGTATCTTTAGTCTGTAATGAGATGATTTTGCCTCTGCTTACACGTCCCCAGTGATGGGGGTGCTTCTCTCCTTTCCAGGCAGCCGATTCCAAGGAGACTTAGTAACAAACAATTAGCAAGCTCTTTCTTACAGTGAGCACACCCTCTCTTTCTGGTGGGTGTCTGTCCTAGCTCTGGCTCTACTTTGAGACCCTCGGAGCTACTTTTTCCACCTGGCTTCCAGATAGCCCTGCAGAGATGGGAAGTAATGCAGGGTCCCTTGAGTTTTCTCTCCTTAGGTAGCATGGTTCCGAGTCCGTCAGGCAATCCTTATAAGACATATGCTCCTGGGCTTGGCCCAGTTGATCACTGTTCTCTTCGAGGCCCTGATCTGGGCACAGGACTTCCTATGGCCTGGGCAGTACAGCCCAAAACAGGACTGTTCTATTCCTGCTACTGGAGGTTAGACCTCTGTGAATGCAGCCTGCCCTGCCACTAGCTGTTTCTGCACAGGTGCAGGCTGGACACTGATACTTCATGTTCAGCCCCATCCAGATCTCTTTTGGACCCTGAATCTATTGTTTAAGATTAGTTAGCTCTCTGATGGGGCCCAGCAGACATATTCAGTCCTGCTTCAACACAAAGGGGCTAAATCCCATTCTGCTTTCTCCCTTTCCCTTCCCAGAAACCTGCTTACATCTCTGGACCCAACCCTCAGAAAAGTCCCCACCCCCATCTCTGGCAAAGGAATCGGCTGTGGGCTGACCTTGGCCACTATCACTTCTTACCTTTGCAGAGTGTTCTGGGATTTATGACATGGCCTTGTTGGTCCTGGGAAGGCTGTGTGCTTCAGCAGGCGTGGAGATCTGGGCACTGTGGGCGGGAGGCAGGCCCTAGGGAACTGGGGGTGGGACCCTGAAGTCTTAGAGCAGTCTCAGTCTGGCTAGAGCCCTCAACCCAAGCCCCGGATCCTTCAGCACCCAGTGTGAGTGTCGCTTTGTGCGCCTACCCCCACCCCAGTTCCCTGAAACTGAGCTGGACTAGTGTGAACTGGGGTTCCCTTAATGGAGGGAAGTCTGGTTCCCATGGGGAGATTTGGTTCTAGGCTTTTTAATCCAAAGCCATCTCCATCTGCACCTCAGAAGGAAGCCCAGCTTGAAGGGTCATGGTGGTCAAGGGGAGTGGGGGAGGGCATTCTCTGTCCGGGGGAGAAGAGAGCAGAAAAAACCCACCCCCTTAGTCTGGGTCTCTGTTTCCTGGGTCTGGCCCAGCACAGCAGGCTCAACCTGAGCAAAGAAGAATCCCATGACCCTCAGGTTCCTGAAAACCTGGAATTGGGTGACATGGTCTTCTCAGAGAGGAAGGAGATAGAACTCTGGGCCACCAGAGGGACCCTGGTATCTTGGGGGTCAGGGTACTGCTGGCCTGAGGCTTGGATCATTCTGAGCCTGGGGGTGGGATGGCTGATAGCCTGTGGTCCCATTGAATAGGTTCTGGGCCCTCCCATTGTTCCTAGTTGAACTTGGGTGAAGAGCAGGAATGTGGTCAGACAGGGTCAGTAGGAGAGCTTGGGCCACTCGGATGCAAGGGTCCTTTGTCTGGGTTACTTGGCCTGAAGAAGGCCTTGCTTGGAGACTTAAGCTGTCAGGTGGCAAGAGGCCTTAGTCCTAATGTTTGATCCTTGCATAGTTCTGGGCCTTGGTCTTCCCTTCTTTGATTTGGGAATAATAATTCTTTATCCTCTGACCCTTTTCCTGAGTGGTTATGAGGGTCATGGGAATGACACAGGCCATCAGAACTCCCATGTCCAGGCCACTGGGAGCCTTGATTCTCCAGACTCTTCCAGAGGTGAACCTACAAGACCAGTGTACCAAGGGGATTCCTATGAGCTGACCCTGCCTCTCTCTACTGTCCTGTCCCTTCCGCCTTGTACCTCCTCTTCTGCACTTTTCTTTTTCCCTTATGCCCTTCCTACTCTTTCTACTCTGCCTCTTCCCTGCCCTCTGAGGACCTGGCTGTAGAAAATGCCCCACCCTCCTAGGCCCAGGTGTCCCCACCAGGCCCCAAGTTGTGTCTGTTACTCTGCCTGAGCACCACTCCCTACAGGATGTTCTCTGCGGCCTCCCAGCCCTTGGACCCCGATGGGACCGTGTTCCGGCTCCGCTTCAAAGCCATGGTCTCATGGGTCATCACTTTCCCTGTGTTCGGCTTCTTCTTCTGCATCATCTGGTCTCTGGTGTTCCACTTTGAGTACACAGTGGCCACTGACTGTGGGGTGAGTGCCAGGCTCCCCAGAGCCTGGGTCAGGGCCAGTTCAAGAGATGGCGATAAGGGTAGAATGTCAGAATCAGAGAGAAGGCAGAGGGTGAGAGGGGAGGGGGATAAAAGGATGGGGGTGGGGGTGGGGGGTTGGGGGTGTGTTTTGGGGAGAGAGAGCTGAGGAAAGTAGAGTCACAGTCCTCCAAGAGTAGGAGAGGATTGTAGAGGGTGCAAGGTGGCAGAAGGGGAGGAGGGGGAAGGGAAGAGAAAGGGAATAGGCAGGAAGAAACCTCGAGAGGGAGAAGAGAGCTGAAGAAAGACGAGACTGGAAAGGAAGCCAGGACTATGGGCTAAGATGAGGCCAGGAGTGAGGAGAAGTAACGAGTGGCTTCAGCCCAGACCAGAGGCCTGACCTGAGAAGACCCCAGCCCTGCTCTGGGTTCTTCTAGCTTGGTTTCTCCTCTGGCAGTCTCAGGCCCCACAACCTGTATCCTCAGAGCTCTGCCAGCTGGAAACCTAGAAGGAGCCCCTGCTTCTAAGAGCAGTTCACCAAGCCTTTCCTGAGGGCCCAGAGGGACGCAGGTTCTGTATCAGGGGCATGGAGTTGAACATGGACTTGCCCTTAGCATCTTATTCCTGCAAGAGACAGACTTAGGCACAGACATTCCCAGCACTGTGAGAGGAGATTCCTTCTGTGATAAAAGGATCACAGAGATGGTGGGTTCAAAAGAAGCTCTTCACCCAGCTCAGAAATCAGAGAGTTCCTTCCTGGAGTGAGGGTCGGGGTGGCAGGGGGAGGGGAGTGAGGGTCCAGTGGGGGTGGCGTGGGTGGGAATTGTTGCTGTGGGGGTGAAGAAGGATTTTCATGAATGCCAGGTTGACAACTTTGGTTTTATCCAGGGGACAATGGGGAGCTTTGGAAAGATTTTAAGCAGGAAAGGGACATGATCAGATTTGAGGTTTAGAAGACCATCTGGCTCCTGCGTGCAGAACAGATTCAAGGGCAGCAGGGCAAGAGCAGGGTACAGGGGTTTAGTTCATGGTAGAGGATTTTCCAGAGCTGAGATGGGGACTGTGAGATTAGAGAAGAGGGGATGGAGTTCAGAGAAGAGGAGCAGGTGGTTCTGATAGGAACGGGAGCTGTAAACATCCAGTGCTTAATACTCTGCGTTGTCATAGGAATAGGAGTTTTTATCCAGTTGGCAAGGGATGGGGAAGAGGATGGGTGGTAGGAAATAAAGAAAAGTCATCCATAAAAGTCAGGGGACTTTTATCTGAGGCCAAAAGAATGAATTCTAATGGTGAAACATGAGATGCTATGTTAAGGAAGCATGAGATGCTATGATATGGAAGTTTTTGGACCCCCTCCCTTTATACCATGTGAATTTCTAATCTGCTACCCTGTCATAGATCCACTGAGTCATGTCCTCCAGGCCAAAGGGTTTCTACTCTTGGGGAAAGGAATCATGCTCACACCTCTCAGTACCCTTAGCTCTGGGCTTTTTGGGGAGGGGGATTTGGGTACTGTATATCTGGGCTCTGATAGCTCCTATGTTGCTTGTTGCTGGCATTGTTGGTGAGTGGGGAATGTTAGTACTTGGGATGGCAGGGGTGAATATGCGTATCTATACCTGATTCTGTGTGTGTGTGTGTGTGTGTGTGTGTGTGTGAGAGAGAGAGAGAGAGTTTGAGTGAGTCGATGAAGGAGGCAGTTCTTACTCTTTGAATGCTGTGCCCACCCCTAACCTGAGAGGAGCTTGCGAGGATGGGACGAGTAGCCACAGGGCCCTAATTCTCTAATCCTCCTGAGGCATCCCCCCAAACTCTGTGTCATCGCTACCCTTTACATGTTTCCCGGCATCAGTCAGGGCTCTGGGTCCTTGAGTGCTCTGGGCTTTCCCAGCCAAGCCTTAGATGTTGGTACAGTTCTCCTTAAAGTAGCTGAGGGTGGGGCAGGAGTTTTCAGAATGAATATTCTAGGAAGTAAAGACAACACTCCCACTAACCCTACACAGGGGGCCTACCCAGAGAAGCAGGAAAGTCAAGTGAAGAGGCTTGGAGGTCTCAGAAGTGTCCAGTTCAGATATGACTCCCACCTGTCACTCAGAAGCTGGCCTTCCCATGGTCAGTAGACACATAGATCACAGCCTTTTTTGCAGGCTTTTCAGGAAAGTTTGTCTTCTGAAAGCCATTGCTTATACTCACTGCAGGTGCCTTGCATACATTATATTTAGTATTCACCGTCAACCTGCAAGGCAGGTGATATCCCTATTTTGCCAATGAGGAAGTTAAAGCTCAGAGAGGTAAAGTGACTTGCTCAAGGTCACCCAGCTAAGAAGGGCAGAGCTGAGATGCACACCCATTGCCTCCAAGCTGCCTCATCACTGAATATCAGACTGATCTCGAGCTTTGGTATCTCAAGTTGTACCTTGAGAGCATCATCCTCTCTCTGAAAGCTCTGTACTCAGCTGCCTCTGGCAGTGCTGGGGGTGGTGGGGGTGGGTGGGAATCCATCTCCTTTTCTGTGAAGGCTTGAGAAGGCTCTGGCTGGTCCCGCCCCAGGCCCTCCCCAGCCTCCTGAGCTGCCTCCATCATTACCTGCCTTCCTAGCCACTCTGAGATCCATTCAGCATCCCCACTGGCAGACAGGAAGGGATCTTCCAGAACTCCATCTCTGAAGACTGGTCCTGCTGTTGTCACAGCAGGGTCATTCCCTCTCTGGGTTTCTGGGCTCTGGTACTGCTCTGGCTCTTGTTGAAGGTCTAAAAGAGTCCACAGAGAGTGTGGGCAACAGACTGGTAACTTCCATAGTCATGGAATCCTTTAGAAATGCAGATTTTCAGATTCCAGACCTTCTGCATTCTCACACAATCCCAGATGAGTTGTATGCATATTAAAGTTTGAGGTGCACTGCTCTAGGCACTGGAGTCTAAGAGATCCTCCTCCCATTCAGGGTCTTCCTGTTCCCATCAAAACTACTGTTTACCTACCCTGCATTCTCTCACTGTCTCATATAAACAACACACCAGTCCTTGCAGTTGTGTGATATTATCTCCTCCTTCCTCAGCTTTTAAAAAATGACATTCCAGTTCCTTAAGAAATGAGGAATTCCAGGCTTTGAGAAAAATGGATGAGAGATATACATAAGAACAGGGTCATTTTCTTAGACTAGACCAGGTTAGGAACACCCACTTTCTTCAATATGATCAGAATGGGGGTATTCTTCTGGCCCAGCTCCCTTGGGATCTCCCAGCACCCTCTATCGCCTTGCTACCCCTGACCAGAAGAACGAGTGAACTGAAAGCAGTCAGGAAAGGCTTGTTGGGAAGTGAGTCCAGCTCTGTCCCTAGGAGGCTCAGATGTTTCCGTCCTTGGGACTGAATCTGGGATGCTGGGCTCATGGACCCTTCCATAGTTCCTTATCCAGGTCACAGCCCTGTGCTGTGGGCTCAAAGAACACCTGAACCTGGCTGTAGCTTTCCCAGCCATCTGTAGGGAGATGGAGACGGTCCCGCTTTGCACCCACACGAACCCCAGGTTGGCCGGGGAGTCAGAACCAGGCACAGGAGGGTCTGGGACCTGGAAGGGGAGGTCTCCCTGGAGAGCTGCGAGGCCCTGAAGGAGGACTTCCTGGAAGGAGGGGAGTGGAGCAGAACCTTCTGAGTGTCAAGGTGATCATCGGAAGAGAAAGATCTCAAGGTGGGCGGGGCATCAGGGGGTCAGCGCCCAGATGGGTCACAACTCTCTAGGTGCCCAATTACCTGCCGTCGGTGAGCTCGGCCATTGGCGGAGAGGTGCCCCAGCGCTACGTGTGGCGCTTCTGCATCGGTCTGCACTCGGCGCCCCGCTTCTTGGTGGCCTTCGCCTACTGGAACCACTACCTCAGCTGCGCCTCCCCGTGTCCCGGCTACCGCCCGCTTTGCCGCCTCAACTTCGGCCTCAATGTCGTGGAGAACCTCGCACTGCTAGTGCTCACCTACGTCTCCTCTTCTGAGGACTTCAGTGGGTGTCCAGACAAGGGAACGAGGAGCGGGAAGGGTTCGGGGAAGGGGTGTCCTTGCCCCCTCCCTGCCCGGGATCTCCCGACGTGGGGCTTTGGGTGCTCCCTGCAGTGCATGCTCCCAACCCCCTCTCTCCCTCCAGCCATCCATGAAAATGCTTTCATTGTGTTCATCGCCTCATCCCTCAGTCACATGCTCCTAACCTGCATCCTCTGGCGGCTGACCAAGAAGCACACAGTAAGTCAAGAGGTACGGTTTACCCCTAGTGGGGCTCCAGGCGGCCCAGAGGACAATCAAGGACACTCGTCCTCAGGATACGGGTAACGGTGAGGTGGGAACTGGAGTTCTGTGGCGGACTGGGGCTACGGCTGGACTTGGGGACGGGGAGGGTGATGGGTCAGAATCTGGGGTTGTTTGGGTAGTATGAGGAACTGGAGAACATTTCTAGACGAGATGGAGGCTCCATCTGGGAGTAGAGGGCAGGGCAGCACCTAGGCTGTAGCAGGTTAGGAGCACTGAGTCCTGGTCTGTGGTCTGTAATCATTCCAGTCTCTCCCCACTGCCACTTCTCTTCTCCCCACAATATCTGGAGGTGTTGGGTTGGTAGATAACTCCAGGTAACTTACTCTGTCCTCCTGAAATGGGAGGGACCCACTGCCTCATTGGCCTCATTACACCCCCAAATGCAGGGCTATGAAATGCCCATCATTCCTGCTGCCTATGCCTGTGTCCCCTTCCATGACCAAGGATGGTTAAGACTCAGCCCAGGAATTGGGGCCAAGAGGGGAGACTGTCCACACACATCTAACAAGCTGCAGAATGATCACAGAACTCATCCCCTAGGATCGCAAGTCCTACAACTGGAAACAGCGGCTCTTCATCATTAATTTCGTCTCCTTCTTCACGGCTCTGGCTGTCTACTTTCGGCACAACATGTACTGTGAGGCTGGAGGTGAGACCAGGCGAGGATTCCTGGGTGGTCATAGTGACTCTGGAACGGCTATGATGCTTCCTGTGTCATGTGTGATAGGGCAGTGGTCTTGGGGGCTGCCTGCCATTGTGTTCCAGACTCTGTGTAGTGATGCGGTGGTGGTGGTAATCTAGCGAGAGGCCCATGGAGGGTAGAGAAGGAAGCTGATCAGGCCCTGTTCCTTGTGTCCTCGCTGCAGTATACACGATTTTTGCCATCCTGGAGTACACGGTCGTCCTGACAAACATGGCGTTCCACATGACAGCGTGGTGGGACTTCGGGAACAAGGAGCTGCTCATTACCTCCCAGCCTGAGGAAAAACGGTTCTAAACCCTTCTCTCCTGCTGGGGAGGAGGCCCACTGCCCAGAAACTAGGAACAAGATACTACTCTGGCCTTCCCTCACCCTCTGTGTCCTCTCTGAGCCCTACTGAAGCTAGGGGAGAGGGGAAGGAGGGAGAAAGGGCCCGGGACAAGGTTTCACCCAGCCCTGCTGGCTTCTTCTTTCCCCCACTACATGTGTAGGCACAGTAGGCCTTCAAGTAGCACCACTTGTACCTGAGAAGCCCCAAGAAGCTGAGCTGGCAGGAGAGCTCCACCATCTGGTGCTAAAAAAAGTCCTGAGGTTCATAACCACCATCCGGTTCTTGGCCTTTACATAGCCACCTCTCGCTGAGGTCAGGGACCACGGAGCAGTGGCTGCTACCAGAAAACCACAGCCATTTCTCCCCGTGGGTCATTCACTTGACTCGTGCTAATCACCTGCTCTGCACACTCAGGCCTGTGACCACAGGCCCTTGCTAAGGTTGCCCAGGTGTCCTAGCCCTGACTTCACCTCTGTTTTGGTGTGTGCCCTTCCCTAGCTGTGCCTCCCTATGTCCGTGTGGATGAAGTCGGGGTGCAGCGGGGTAGGGGGGCTGTATGATTTCCGAGGGCTCTGCCGTTCTGCTTCTCCCTGTGGAGGTGGTGTTCTGTACCTAAAGGGTGACCTCCAGAAAAAGCCCTGGCACAGCACGTATCTCCCCTTTTCTAAAATTGCTGACTTAAGACTCTTCCTCTTTGGTAAAGGTGCCAGGTAGAGGGGTCAGAGGCACAGATTCCTACCCTGAAACGGGCTCTCTGGTGTCCCCCCTGCCCCCTCCTGCCTTAGGCCCTGTGCTGTTTAGGTTGTACATTTTATTTCAAAGGGAAATAAATTTTTTTTTGTCAACAGTCTGGGCTAGGCTTACTTGTTTGGAGGCTCATCTCTTTGTTCAATGGAACTGAGGTGGGGAACAGGCTCCAGGACATAGGGAATAGTCTATGACCGGTATGATTCCATGTGGCATCCCTCCCTCCCCGCCCCGCGCCCCCCACCCCAAACACACTTAGGCCTTGGACTCTCCTACAGTCTAAGCTGATGTTGATGAGCAGGAGTGACTTTCTCTGCCGTGACTCCAGGTCTGGAAGCTGTGATACCTGGGAGAGCCTTAGGTTGAGGCAAAGGCCTGAGTGCTAGCCCCAACTCTGTCAGTAAAGATTTGTCCCTGTGGGGGTAGAAGGGGACAGGTCTCAGGTGCATGACTGTGAGAGCACCTATCTGCAGGCTGATGACTCAGCCTCTCCCTTTCTAGGCCTTAGATAAGGAAGTTTTTCCTCTCGCTTTGCATCCCAAACTACTGCAGAATCTGTGGCTGGGCCCCAGGACAAGACTGGGGGCCCTCCAAGGGAGCCCAGAGCTTTGTTAGGGAAATTGGGGGGTGGGGGGACCACAATGAAGTCTATTGTCCCCTGTCCCCTCTTGCAGGAAACAAAAGGCTCCCAGTCTCTGGGGAGCCCTAGCCCAAGCTTGGTCCCTGCCCAACCCCCAATGCCCAGCACACAGGGAGGAGCCAGGGCCATTGGAGACAGGAGGTTTTATTGATGCTGATGGGGGTAGGAGGGGCCCCCAGGAGCCCGGAGGGAGTGGGGGTGGGGCTGAGTCAGTCAGCGGATGCTAAGGCTTGGGCACATGAGGGTAGGTTAGGGCACATTCATCTTCTTAGGATTCTGTGGCTCCTTCTCTGGGGCAGGGAGAGCGCATCATGAGGGGGGAGCAATCGAAGAGCAGGGAGGGAGAGGTTAGGGATGGCAGAGCGCTCCTAACCTGAGAGAAGGCACCACAATAGGCAGCAACATCTGGTCAGTAGGGGCAAGTGGGGAGGGGGCACCTGGTTGGCTTCTTGGGGAGGGGCCCGTCCTTGGCCTGGGTGAGCTTTCAAGAATTCCTGGTGTTCCCAAGCAGAGTGGGGCAGGGCCCAACGCCCCTCTCCCTGTGGGCCTCCTTCAGGAGAAAAACGCACTCGGGGAGCCCCCTTGGCAAGGGGTGCCAGAATTAGTCCTTAAGGCACAGCTGGGGGCAGACAAGGCGCCAAGGCACAAAGGCACAACTGGTTGGGGAGGGGCAGGGGCAGCCTCCAAGCTGAGTGCCAGGGTCACAAGAGGACACAGGACCGCCCACGCTTGACAGGCGTGGGGTTGAGCACAGCCCGGACAGCCTCGGCAAACACCTCCTTGACGCCGTCCTGCTGCAGGGCCGAGCACTCGAGGTAGCGCACAGCGTGGATCTGCTTGGCCAGCGCCTGGCCCTGCTGCGGCGTGATGGGTGCCTGGCCCTGCTCCTTCAGGCGCCGCAGGGTGTCAGGCTGGGCTCTCAGGTCCTTCTTGGTGCCCACCAGGAGGATGGGCACATCAGGGCAGTGGTGGCACACCTCTGGATGCCACTTGTGCCGCACATTCTCATAGGAGGGTGGGCTGGCAATGGAGAAACAGATGACAAACACGTTGGTCTGAGGGTAGGAGAGTGTGCGGAGGCGGTCGTACTCCTCCTGGCCCGCTGTGTCCCACAGGTTCAGGTTCACCGTGCGCCCATCCACTGCACTCTGGGCGCTGTAATTGTCGAACACTGTGGGGATGTACTCCTTGGGGAAGGCATTGGTTGTGTAGCAGATGAGCAGGCATGTCTTGCCCACAGCTCCATCGCCCACCACTACACACTTGATGCTCTGCATTGTCGGTGTACCTGGAGGCTGTGCCTCCTTCCCGTTCTGGGCCCCTCTGGATGCAGCGACCTGTGGACAGAAGAGAGAGATACTCTGGGTTAGGGAGTCCTGGGAAGAAAGTATGGGGGCATACAGAAGAGAACCAGCTCCAGTTCTCTGAACCTGACACCATCCTGCAATCCCATCAAGAGAGACCACAGACAGACAGACACAAAATGGGAGACAGGTCCTGAGACCAAGCAAGGATGCTCAAGGATACGGAGGCTGGCACTAATGTGTAATATATTATGTGAAGCATGTAAGTTCTGATGCCAGACTGACTAAGGTCAAAACCTGGTTCTGTTATCTCCTAGCTTTATGACCCTGGACAAATTACTTAACTTCTCTACGTCTCATTTTCCTAATCTGTAAAATGGGGATGAAATAATACTTCATTGGGTTGTTGTGAGGATTATATACATTAACACATATATAAAGCATTTAGTACAGGGTCTGGTCATAATAAGCATTCAATAAGTATTAGCTACTTTTCTTTTTCCTCCAGGAAGTACTGACACAAAAGGACGGTGCACACGTGTAGGGATCTACTCGATCCTCTATCAGCTATGCACCCCTCCCACTGAGTAGACTGGAGACAGCTTCTGGCACAGGTCAGTCTGAGATGCAGCCACGGGTGAAGCCTCCCATCTCAGGGCCCACCAGCCCTAGAGCACTGACGCTTTAATTCCAAACATGACATCTTGGCTACTGACTGCAAACCGAAATGTGTAATGAGAAACCTGTTGAGTAAGAGGCACAATTCTCTAGGCAGCTGCCCTATCTCAAACTAGGGTGCCCTGGAAATGGTGAAAAGGAGGGAGCGCTTACCCATCATTCTTATAAGCATGGGAAACCCTATCTGGCCACACAAAGCCAGGCTGGCAACTCAGTGCAGGGGAACACTGGAGATAGAGCCAAGGCTGGGATTTGGTCTGGAATCTGGGTGTGTAATGATGAGCAAGGCAGAGGCCAGGTGTCCCAGACGTCTGCATCTTCTCTTAAGGTGGGCTAAAGCCCAGCCAAGAGGGATGAACAGAAGAATAAGACAAAAATTTGATTTTCCCCTTAATCTTCTACCCCTTTCCTGAGACCATGGCCTGTGCCTCTGAAGAAGCTGAGGGGCTGCTGGGCTTTTGGGCAGAGAACACAGTGTCAGTAAGTACTATCAATGAGAAGACATGCTGGTATCAGATTGGTCAGGGATTCTAATCACAGCTCCACCAACTAGTCAAATATGATTCTCAGGCAACATATTTAAGTTTCCTAAGCCTCAAATTTTCTCATCTGTAAGATGGGGATAGAGTTGGTGAGAGTATAAAATAAGCTAACATGTAGAGTGTGTCTGGCATGAGGCGTGGCACACAGGAAGTGGCAAATAAGTCAGCTGCTATAATTATCAGTGGGGTAAGTTTGAGAGGAGTCCCCGTTCCAACCATCACCCGGTCACCTCTGCAGCTCACAGGGCCTCGAGGTGAGGAACTGCTCTTCCAAGTTCTGGAACAGAACAGAGCTTCCGGAAACCCTGAGATTATTTATACTGCTGTGGCAAGGGTAGTCCTCTAATTGACTACTTCCTCTCAGCCACGGGGGACTTTTTCTGGCTAGTATGTTACTTCCTTTCCCTGCAGCTCTCTCACAACCAGGTCCCTGCTCCCTGGAAAGGGACAGCTCTGTGTATGACAGTATGACACACCCAGTTCTCTTCGCTATCTCCTGCTCCACCCAAGCACTATCATCCCTGGCCCATCTTCTCCATTTCACTTTATACACAGCAAAACTGTACCCTGGTCTGCCAACCCTTATCCTCCGACCTGTCTTCTCTCAACTATTGGTCCCAAAGCCTCAAAAATCAAATTTGGAAGGTGCAGGGGGACTCCATCACTGGAAAGTAGAAAAGGAATTCTGGTGGTGTGGAACCTGCAGAGAATCCAGGGCTTAGTCCCTCCCAGCTCCCTCCCAGGCCCCAGCTTCCCCTGGGACCAGCTGAGAGGGAAGTGAGTTCATTCTATGACGCTGCCTCTCTGGTTTACAGTAAAAATATTTCCATCTTATTTGCATGAATAAATGTGTGTTCAACCTCAGGAGAGTGGATAGAGGGCCTCAAGGGTATGGGTCCAGAAAGAAGACAAGGACCCTCTAGGGCACTTGAGAATTTGGGACTGGAAGTCAACAGAACTCAGCCAAGTCCCAGCCCCAGGGCTGCTCTGCTGCCAACTCACTGCAACCAAGCAAGAGGCACTTACCCTCCCTGGGCCTCAGTTTCCCAATCTGTGAAATGGAGAGAAAAAAGCCATGCAAGGATACTAAGTGGATGAGATGAGACATTGAGGAGCCTGGGGGCAGGGGACAGGATGATGGAGATAGGAAAGACCCCTGTGAGCACAGGGTTGGGGTGGGAAGGTTGAGTCAGTCAGCAAATGCCTAAGACCTTGGCACCTGAGCCCAAGTCAGGGCACGTTCACGTTCTCAGGATTCTGTGGCTTCTTCCTTGGGGGAAAAGAGACAGCATCGTGGGGAGGGGGGTGTTGGTGTCATTCCTCGTGTCCACTGGAAGGTTGAGGAGAACCCAGCATCTCGAAGAGCAGATGCTCTCTAGGCCTGTAAATCTGTAGCTGCACACAAGGCCGGAGCATGGCTGTGACCAGGAACCCCTCCCCTCGAGCCCAGCACTGGGCTGGCCCAGGCAGGAAGGCAAGGGGGGGACTCTGGCCGACAGTCACAAGGCCTGAGAGACCAGAAGTACAGCTGGCTCCACACAGCTTTCTAGGGAGGGGTTATCAACCAGCAATCAGTAAATCAGCCCTCAAAGGAGCGAGGAGGGAGCAGGAAGCTTCCGGGCTGGGGAGGGAACAGGGACTGACACCGGAAAAGGATCACGAGGGAGGTAGTGTCCAGAAACAGGCAGGGCAGAGGCAGTACAACATAGGGCCAAGGGCACCAGATCCCTGACTCTGACCTGGGATCACCTGCTGACTCTACCCCTTGATTAAAGCCCTCCATGGTACAACCCTTTACAGATCACATGGTATTACATTTTTTCATCCTTCTAACAACTCATTGGTACTATTCATATTTACAGATGAGGAAACAAACCCAGAGCAGTTAAAATAACTCAACATCACACAGCTAGTCAGCACAGGACTCAACATAGACCCCATTTTTTTTTAAGCACAGACCCCACTTTTGCAATCCAAAGCCCTGTTTTCCTCAGGGTGTCACACAGCTTCCAAGTGACCCTTACCAGCTGACTTTGTGACCTTAAGCCAGTAACTCACTTCCCTTCCTGGAACCTGTTTCTTCATTTGTACGACCCGCATGACAAAACTCATCCTCCCTGTCTCAAAGGGCAGCAGTGAGGATCCTGAGCACAGGGATGAATATGCTTTATAAACTTGGAAGTGGGCTGCGCAGAGAAGGTGGCAAAGGCAAAGCCTTTCATACCAAGAGGCTGGAATCATTGAGTACACAGGTGCTTGAGAGGTGGCGGCAGCCCAATTCTCCCCATTCAAGGATAGTTCAGACCCTTATCTTCTCTCCCAGGGCAACTCTTTTCTCTGAACACCTATGGCCTGAACTGGGTCAAATAAGTTCCCATAGTTCATTTAAGGAGGGCGCATGCTCAAAAGGTAGGATCTAGCCTGTACCATGCAGGACAAAGGGACAGTCAATGCTGTCGGAGGCCAGACAAGGACAATGGCCTGCCTGGGGTTGGGGGATTGACTGTGACTTATTTGCTAGGTCACTTAAAAAAAAAAAAAAGAACTTTAGTATGTAAATAAACATTTGCAGGTTAGTATAGTCTTAGCCATAGTATAATGATTTGTTCTGGCTTTCTAGTCCCAGCTTAATTCAGATCATGCCTGGTCCCTCATCTTGGCTTTCAGAGTTCCTCATAATCTGGCAAAGGTTTTGGAGTCAGATAAAGAATCCGCTTGCAGCACAGGAGACTAGGGTTCAATCCCTGGGTCAAGATCCCCTGGAGAAGTTAATGGCAACTGCTCCAGTATTCTTGCCTGGAGAATCACACAGACAGAGGGGCCTGGCAGGCTGCAGTCCAAGGGGTCACAAAGAGTTGGACACAACTGAGTGACTGAGCACTCTACACATTCCACAGAGCTGGGTTCAAATCCTAGTTCTGCCATGATGAGCTAGGTAATAGTATCAACCTTATAAGGCTGTTATATGGATGAAGTGCATTGATACACAATGTGTGTGTACTAAGCAGATGCTTTGAAATGGGAGTTCCCTTCTCCAGAGGGGTCTTCACTGTCCTATGTAAACAGGCCAGGATCATTCTGGCCTCTGAACTTTTCCTCTTGTTCTTCTCTCTGCTGCCACTCCTCCCCTCTCAAATCTTCCTGACTCAAGGCCTAGATTAAGTCTCATGGTACCATGAGGCTACTGAATTCTGCTTTCTTTGAACTTCCACGGTATGACCACCCTTGTAACCCTTCTTTGGCTCTGAGTCACTCTCCTTCTGCAGCAGTCACATATAAGTTCCTTAGCTTGTGGATGTCCCCCTGACCAATACTGAAGCTTGACCTCCTCGACTCCCCCACCAAAAATCTGAGTACAGGCTTCTGATCTGCTTGCTTCTGCTTCAGGTACTGAGATCTGCATGAACAAGTCAGAAGCCCAGAACTGAACTGACACCCCCATAGCCCAAACTGCAGTGCTGAATCTTACTGGACAGGAGTGGCAGCCCAAAGCCTTGACTGGGCTAGGCAAGAATCTTTCCTCCCAGTACCAGTTTGACCTGGCTCCCGCAGGGAGCACAGTCCAAGGGGCTCATCCTATCTGAGCATAGTCCCCAGAGCCTAGCCTGTACCCAGTGGGGCCTGGTCTTGGGGTGTGGCCCAGGCAGGCCCAGAATGGGGGAGGGAAAGGAAGCAGCATATTGCCTGATTGCCAGATCTCTGTGGCAGTTGTAGCAGGGGAAGTGTCCCAACTGGGAGTGGGGGAGGGGAGGA